AGTAGTATGTCCCCTTGCTGCTCAGCTTTGAACGGCAAATGTGTGGGAATGTGTCTTCTGGGAAGAATGATGATTAGCAACATAAATCAAGCATCTGGGTTAATCCACTGTCACTGTTGAGAGCTAGGTTATTTACATTGACGATTCGCAACACCCACGGTGGCCATATAAATATCTGAAGCACGCTCGCTTATCTTAGGATAGGTACCAAAAATGAGGTGTTGAAACAACGGCGCCAAGGGTATAGCCTACTGTGAGGTTGAGATTTAAGTCCTATTATTACTAAGAGAAGCGTATGTTCACAAAGCGCATGTGTTCATCAGCAGAGTCTTTGGAGCAGGTAGTGGATTCCTCATATTTCAACTCGCCTCGTAAACTCCGCTTGGAAGATAACTTACCAGTGCTCACATTGTCTCAGATATGGCCGGATGCCGCCACATCGGTAAATCTTGCTGTCTCTTCAGCCACGGTACGATAAATGACGCTAATTCGCCGATCACTGCTGAGAATCGAGGATCTGTGCCAGAGGCTGGATCAGTTGCATTAGAGTTATTCAAGCCACGCAATTTGCTGTTTCGAAGTTACTTTCAACTTTCCTACTGAAATCATGTTTCCGAGTGGCAGCGCTCCTAGTATGTTCGCTCACCGATCAGGCTGAAGGCGGCTGATAGGTCTAACGGAACTCATGGGTTTATCGGGAAGGACGGACAACGCAATGATTTAGAAGCCGGAAAGGATCATCAAAGAGCTATCAGTAAGAATAGGAGAACGGCAGTTCATTCCAAGTATTTGAAATACGTCGTTGGTTATAAAATATGTTTTCTAAAACGAATGAGTTAGAACCTGAGTTTGCCAACTCAAGGCGCAAAACATTCTTCTTGAAGACAGGGTGACTAGCCTACATGATGGTTTCCGGCAGTGGTCCGCTGATGCTAAGACTAACCCGCTAGAAGTGGTTCGGCTGGAATCGACGCCAGTTTGTACCCAAACGACCCAGCTGCATGATCGGATGCACAGTGTACTTACCGAATAAAGGCCACTGCGAACATATCCCCTAGGACAACGCTTAACAGATGGTATGTCGCTACTGCTCTGATTGTGTGCCTGCAGGTGCTGCAAACGTCAAACAGCCACTTGTTTCGTGCACCAGACCTGACAAAGATATTATTGAACGTTTTGGCTTCACCAGTGAAACCCAACCACGTAGACAGCGAGACAGCTTTCCATCCTGCAGGTCATTTAGTAAACACAGTGGATGACCGGTTTTAGCTGGACTACATACCAATTTAGCGCAGTGGAGCCAAACCCTTGTCTCCATGGAAAGCACAAATAGCCAGGGAACCCTAAGTCCTCCGGCACCATGGTGGCTAACAACTGCCCATCGGCGTCGTTTGCACCTCCGGAGCCCGTACGCTGCAATGACAATGAGGCTAAAAAACTTGTAATTCGCATTGTTATGTTAAGTAACCGAGGAATAGCCTTCATATAACCGTGTTTAATGATTTCAGATGGTTAAATACTCATCATTCAACCATCTCTCAAAGTTCAGTAGCAGTGACAACCTTCTCTAACCGTATTTCACTGCAAATCTGGTGTTACTCAAACGCATGATGGCGACTTTTCACCGCGGGCAAAACAACAGACTAACTGTTCTCTCGGCGTGGTTGTCGATTAAAGCTGCTTTAAATAGCCGACCGTAATAGGTTCTTTGTTGTTCCCTGATCACGCAACCTCGTCGTAATCGAATCCTTTATGACCTGTTAATTTGACGCCTAGTTAACCATAGCTGACCGAACTTCACGTTTAGATAATGTTGAAGGTAGGTTTTTAGGCAATTAACAAGCGTTTGTTCAACTGCTTTCGGACACGATGTTATTGTTAAATAACCGCCATATAACGGTAACATAGGGAACCGACCTCGTAACTTCGCGGTTAGCCGGGAAATCACAGGATTTGTCGTTGAGATTAAATAATGGTCGGGCAAACAATGGGCCACATCTAGCTGTATATCTACGTTCTGGCCACAGGTGGAGGCGATTATACCACGATGCGACAAACATAACACATCTTCATAATACATCTTCCCTTGTGCAAAATAAGCACTGGACCGAACTATTTCCCGAGCTACACCGCAATTGCTTTAATTCTGTTTTTCGTGTGGTTTTTAACAACAAGCAATACCCAATTAATGGCTCCGGAGGTAACGATCAAAATGACGGCTTGTTGCTGACTGCTGGTGAACCGACTGGTCCGCTATAAGCCGGTTTGTTGTACGGAAAACATGCACGTATTGAAAAATAGGTACGCAAAACTTATCCACGTGGGTTGACAATCCAATTCTTTACCTGGCGGTCTGGGTCTTCATTACGACAAAAGCAGCTTCGGCGTAGCCACGTCGTTTGGGTTGCCCATAGCAGACGTTTGAACCAGCAACACGACATCAGAGTAAGACTGTGGTGCCTCAGGTCGACCGGGAGTAGACACATGACTTGCCACCAGATATTCCACACACATGTTCTGGATCAACGAAAGACACGGTCTGCCTCAAATACAGATGTAATACATTCTAAACACAATTACTCAACAGTGCACTGAATGGTATGGAATCTTCGGCAATCTCACGGAAAATCGCCTTGTTTTCCACCGTCTCATTTACCCTTTTTACGGTTTTCCATGAATGAGAATGATGGAAAAGGTGGAAGGATAAAATTGAAAGGGAGTATTTCAAAGGTCCGGAGACACACGAGGAACGAAATTACAC